AAGGCTGGGCATTTGTACCAAGGTTGGAAGATTTGGCTTGCATGGTGGGATTGCACAGAGAGGTTCACAATCCTGTGGTCCCGTTTGCTGTTAGACACATGATGTGGGTAGTTTGGGAGCCCTGGCTGCATCCTTGGGGTACCTGTGTAGAATTTCTGTTGCAGAGGGAGAGGAGGAGAACCCAAATGGGGTCTTGGACTGCTCTGTCAAGGCTGATGCCCAAGCTGTTGGCTGCAGGCAGCTCCTGTTCACCTGCAAGCAGCACTCAGTTCTGCTCAGGTCCTGACGATGCAGAAGATGGGAACCTGAGACTTAAAAACCAATTTTGTTCTAAAAGAGTCTGTGCCTCTTGGAATGTACTCTCTCCTTCTGGGCTGAGCATTTGCAAAATGTTACTTAATAGAGATATAATGTAAAATCCCAGCTCCAGATGCACATGGCTTTTGGTCCAGAAATAATCAAAATCTGAGGCTGTAACCATATGCCAGTTTTGCAACTGGCTCTGTGACAGCAGTTGAACCATAACCACAGAATCAATCAGCTTAGCTCTCTGGGAGGTTGAAATTCAGGCTAGGTTTTGAAATCTGGGACATCTCTTTAGTAATTTACAGCATACAAAAAGAAATCCAATAATAAGCCTGGTTTAGCTTCCCTAAAACCGTTGGATTGACAAAGAAGGACTTCCACATGTTCAGATCTATTGGGTCCCTCTACTCTCTTTAGAGTGAAACCTTTGCTCAGCATGAATTGACACAAGTTAGTATTTTCCAAACTTTTTGCATGGATTTTAAGCTAGTTCCCCTTCTTCTCTCTAAGTAGGGGGGTTTTGATGAGCAAAGAGGCAGCTCTATATGCTAACTGCAGTGACACAGTGGAGTGAGTGACATTTCTTTGCTGATCTCATTGACGAGCTGTTTCATTCTGGGTTTGTTTCTGCAGCAGTGGATCTCTCCCCTCGCCTGGGATTTCTGAGACCTTTGTTCTGCAAATATCTCAGAACTGTAAAAAGTTTGAAAAACAAGAGGGACTGCAGGATATTAAATGCTTGTTGCTTTTAAATAAGCAGATGATACTTTTACCAAATGCTATCATTTTGGCCATATTTTTCTTTCGTTGTCATTTTTTGATGGCTTGTTTTTACTGTAGAAAAAGTCTGTGAAGCAGCTGCCAGCGAAGTGATGGCAACTGGATAGCATCTGTACATTTGAAAATCCTGTTAAATGATATGTGAGGGAAGTCTATTAAAGCATGTTTGTCTAGAGTTCAAAGCTATTTCATGCAGGGCATTGTTCTGTTGCAGCCTACATCTGCCTTTTTTTATTAAAACACAAAATTAAGTTATTGTTAAGTGGAGTACTTGAAATGTTGTTGGAACAAATACCATGAGATATCCTGAGTGATGTGGTAGCTGTGCAGTATGTCACAGACCTGCATGCTCTACACATCTCAGCTTGTGGAGAACAGGCTGCCTTGAAGCTGCATCTCAGTGTATATGCTCATGAAATGGAGACGAACATTTACATTTGCATGAGATAAAAGTGATAACAAGGACTAGCTTTTTGAGGTCAAAAAGGCTCCATCCACATGGATGCCATGTGGAATACTTAATTTCAGATATTCTTAGCAACTACCACTTTTCAGCACCATGTGTTTCGTTGCCTGGATGTAAGAGCTAGGAAGTCCCTCTGCAACTCCTTTGAGAGGTCATAAATCTTCCTGTTGGGAAGAACAGCTACCAAGAGTTTCCCACACATCTTTTGATTGCCACTAACACTTTCTCAATTTTTTTTTCAGCCTTATCGAAACAAAGTAATGTTTAATAATGTTTTGCTATTCGGACACACTTTCAGGTGATGATCTACCAGCACCTCATACCAAGTGAGTATCAATCTGAGTTGTACACATATTTTGTAAACAACAATGTGCTAAAACTGACAGCAGGTCTGAGAAATGGACCATTACAACCTTACCTAATTGCTGGATACCTTAGGCCTTAAATGATATATCCAGATTTCCCAAATCTGAATTTGAGATCAAATGATAAGAATGTCCATGTCCTTTAGTCTGAGCTGAGCTAGAAAACAATATGGAAGTGTATGGATGTGTGTAATGGAGCTGATTTTTTTGTTCTGGTTTGGGGTTTTCTTTGTTGTTGTTTTTGTTTGTTTATTTGTTTTGTTTGTTTGTTTTTTTAGTTTGTTCTTTTTTTTTTTTTTTTTTAGTTTTTATACAACGTACAATTTACTGTGACATAACACTTTATTTTTAACCTAATTATGTCTATGTGCAAACCCAACCTTTCACTTAAGCCCTTTCTTCAGAGCTTAAAATCGGGTGGAGTATTGAGTTGGCTGGCCTGGAAACTAAATCCCTCTTTGTCCAGAGAACAGCCAATGTCTTCAAGGTACCATTGAAGGTCAGCTGTCTAGATCTGACTTGCAAGTGAGGAGACTTGTGCCTTATGCCTTACTCATAGGAAAGCTGTTCACTTGCCAAAGCCAGAAAGGTCAGTGAAGCAGAGTACGGAAAGCACTTTTGGGTGACTGCAAGAGCTACTCCTGGGGTCCTCATGCATGGTCTGGGTGCATGGTATTGAAGTGCCTGTTCAGCTGCAGTAAGAGTGGGGCTGTTCCTTGACAGAGGACAAGTTGGAAGCTGAGGATGATCTCAGCACAGGCAGTGCCATCCCTAACAGGGCAGAGTCACAGGTGGGCCAGGAGAAGTGACTAGCTCTGCTGACCATTAAGTGGCCATTGGACAAGGCAAAATATGGGATCTATTCAGGCAGCCTGCTCAGGAGCATCTGGACATGGAACCAGAGACAGGACTGGAGACGAGGCTACTTACAGTATGAGTGCAGAGAGGGCAGGTTGGTCAGGTCAGTTAATTCAGGGCTATAACTGGTCTCAAGGTCCTGGCACTGCTTAGCAACAGCTTACTTGTTATCAAGATGGTGTGGCGGAGGCATACCCTGCTCTGCAGGAGGGCTGTGCAATGGGTGCTGTCTCTCCCTGACCTTCACACCTGCTCTGCTCCTGTGACTTCTAGTCCTGTCATCTTGGCCTGAAATCTCAAAAGCCTGGAGCCAGTGTCCTAGAAAGTCACTTGGATTCTTTCCACTGGCTTCAGTTTTGTTTGAGCCAGCCAGTTACCAGGACAGGCTCTTCCTGGTCTCCCAGCACTGCTGCCGAGCATGCTGCTTTTCCCATCCACGAGAAAGGCAGTCATCAGTGGAGAGGTTTAGGTCGGGTGACAGCCAGGAAAGTTTGCTTGCAAAAGGCTGGAGGGACCTCAATTATTAGAAATTAAAACCACATCATGGAGAGATGAAAACAATTCTATCTGCAAATGCAATAGGGTCTGTTAGCCAGAAAGTACTGCTCTGCTTTTGATTAATTCTTACTCTTTAATTAATCCTTTCAGTTTATTATCCTTCTTGGAACTTTTCTGGAATAACGAAATGACAAATCTAGGCAATCAAATATGTTTTCACAGGGATTAACCTGCATCTGATTGCACTTGGTTTTGCGTGACTCCAGGGAGAGCAGTAGCAGCTGTGCCCGGAGCCATTGGAGCACTGCCCAGGGCAGCCCATGCCCCAAGAGAAATACCATGCCCTGTGGAAATAATTCATATTCTCTCTTTCAGGTTTCCCATGAGGAGAAGGTTTACCTGTGGCTGGACTGGAGCTTCATCCCCCCATGTTTGTAAGGGAGAGCGTTTGGGTCTCTATGGTGCCTGTTGATTTTGCTACCGGGGCTCCTTTGCTCAGGAAAGTCCCCTCTCTGTCCTTGAGCCTGATAAGTAGAAGGGACGGGTTTTCTTTAACAGGAAAAAGCCACTTGGCTCTATTTGTCATTCTTCATTAACCTTATCTTAGTCCCTCTTTATCCTCCTCTCTCCCATGTTGCCTGGTCACTGTAACTCTTAAAACTTCCTGTCTTGATAAAGATGTCTTGTTCAAAGTGTATTTATGTCATTAGTTACAACTGCCTTACTTGGCAGCGTGACCCTTTGTCCCTTTGTCATTGGCTTGGCTGTTGTTTTCTCAGTCTCAGTCCGAGGGGCAGGGTTATAAAAGTGCCCTGTACATATGGTGAGGCCCATCTCTTCCCTGGAAACATCTCCAGGCTTCAGTCCGTGCTTCTGCAGATTGTCCTTTCAGGATCACAGGAAGTTGATGAGGCTGGGCTGCATGAGGGACACAACACCTAGTGCTTAGCTCTTCAGCCCTGGTTCCCAAGGAAGCTGGACCCCAGAAATGGCAGCACAAAAAGCAGAACTGAGGAGCCCCGAGCACCAGTTGTTCCCCCCAATACCTTTATGTAGTTTCATTTTTCAGCACATTGCCTGAGTGTGCTCTGTTGAACACATTTGTCATAGTCATTAATGTCCTTTGCAGTCATGGTGACACAGAGTGCTCTGGCTGTTTCCAATTACCAGGACAGCCTTGCTTAAGCATTGCACTTGCAGCACCACTGCAGTCTCTTGCTGGGCTGCAGCACATACCTCCCCTCTGTCAGCATTCCTCACCCTTTTGGACCTTTAACTCTGAGGACTTTGAGGCTGATTTTCCTTCTCTTCCTGTCCTTTGTTTTATAGATTAGATACGGCATGGAGCTTTATGAACATAAGAAGCCCTTGGTTTCCAGTGTTGCCCCGAAGAGATTTAAAGGTCCATGAAACAAGAGCCTGTGATAAGGCTTCTGTTACCATTTTCTATAGAAAAAAAGGTTGTGAATATTTATAAATAAAAATCAAGGAAAAAAAAATAAAAATAAACAAAACCTGAAGAATTCTTAAAAATATTTGGAAATTCAGGTCAGTTCTGAGATGTACCAGGGCAGTCTGCAAAGACTGGTACAACAATGTTTATGTATGTTTGGTTTCCAAGACTGACTTTCATGGAAACAGCATGATACAAAGTGGTTTTGGTCAGCAATCTCAGTACCTTTCACACCAGCACAGTGCAAAATAGACAGTTTAGGCTGTCAGTGTTAGTGTCAACTCTGTATTCCTGTGGTTGAGGTTCAAACTTCACACTCGGGTTTCAAGCCTGTTACCTACAGACAGAAGGCATGGCGAGGTAAGTTTTGCAGCTTGAGGATAGGTTGTGTTGTCCATGGGGGCAGAACTAGAATCAATTCTGGCATTTTGCTTTGGGCCAGGGTACTCATCTCTGGGAGTTTGGTTCAGGGGTTCTTTGAGAACCTCAGTGTTCTTGTTGTGAAGAGACAGATGTGCAAGGGTAAGAGTGTGGTGTGCACCAAGGAGTAAGCTCTGTATGGAGTGGGTGTACTTGAGCCAAACTGGTTTAGACATAGCTTGAGACATCTGGACTGCAGTTACACAGATGGTCTGTATTTTAACATCTGGTATGGGATTAAGTTGCATGCTAAAACATGTACGTACCTGTGTGTAGATGAGGTCCGAGTGTCTATAGCCCCTTTATTGTCAATAGAGATAGTTAACCACCATGGAGCCTTCAGTATAATTTAGTGTACCCTGAGTCACCTGGTAGTTAGTCAGGTGAGTAATTTCCAGACTCCATTCACTATATCTTTTTTTGAAGCACCATCCACATTTACTGTGAGAGCATAGTCTCTAGTTCACATGCAGACACCTACGAGTAGGTGCTTGAACCTCACCCCAGTTTCCTTTGCAATGAACACCTCCAGTGCCTGTAAGATTTTAGGAAACTTTGTAGATGTCAAAATTGACTAATGACATTGTCTTTTACCAAAGGCCCCCAGAACAGAATTATCTCTTAGGCACCTGAGTTCAAAAATCTCGACCACTGTTGTTATTCTCAGATTTCACCCTCTAGTCAGTTACGTTTATCTGGTTCTGGATATGGAACAGAAACCTAACACCAAAATATTTCTTCAAGCTTTGCTGGCTTCTCCATGAATACTATAATGTGTGACTCATGCTCTTTGGCAAGGATAAGAAGCTGGATTTAAAATATGGTTTTGTACTTATTTTGATTTCCAAATAAAGCCTAATGGAAAAATATTATTTATCCCTGCACTTTATGCACTACACAATGCAGTGACTTGACTGCAATAAAAAAAAGTTTATTTTGCCATATCAAAAAAACCTCCCACAACGTTTTTACCAAGGATTTTTGAGTCTGAAAACTCTGATTGTTTGTCATTACAACAACCTTTTCTGATTAGTCCCTGGTAGGAAAATACTTTTCTGCTGTCCTGGTATCTTAAAACAAGGCTTGTGCTACCTGACAGGGTGTTTGGGATGCATCTCACTGGAGATTAGCAGGAGCTGTAAAGCTTCTGACCTTTTTAACAGAAAAGCAAAATCCAAAATCTCCACTTCCAAGTATTCACAGCTTTAAATCTCAGGCTGTGTCTTTAACCTTGTCTTTAATTAGACACCCGGATAATATCACAGCAGAAATAACCCGGTGTGTCAGCAGCAGTGTAGCCTCAAGCAGCAGACGCAGATGCTGTTTGGCAGCCTGGCTTCCTCCGACACTCGCATTCCTTCTGTGTGCACTCACCTTCCCCGTTGGTATCCAGCACTTCACCCGGGGCTCCATGGTGGAATAGAGAAAATCCTAAAGAAAGTTATGAAGAAAAATGCAGCTTGGTTCAGCTGCAGCCAGCACAGTCAGAAAGAAAAGGACATGAATGCTTTGTCTGTACAACATGTTTTCCAAACCCAGGTCAGACAATGTTGGGTTGCTCATGCTCCAGAAAACAAGATTTGTCTTGTTCTTCACTCCTGTGTCCAGTTGCCAGCCCAGTCACTGCCTCTAAGTGACCTCAGGGATGTCACTTAAACATTCTCTTCCTCAGTTCTTTCTAACTACAGATTTATCCTCCCCCTTACTCTTTTCTCTTCCTACTGTGTTACACCAACCAGGCAGAGGGACATAACCTCAGCAACATGGTGACACAGCCTTTGGTTCAAAGTTGGCTTACATCTCATCTGCCCTTGAGCCCTGGCAAGTGAGTCCACACCTGCCCAAGGTCTCCCAGGCAGATTTATCCACAGTGACCTTGTCTGAAGACTGAAAGTCGTAAGTGCAGTGCACCGTGCAGACTAATTTATCCTCCTTCGTTGGAGGCAAATGGAGTGTGAAAAGAAGGCTTATTGTCCAACTTTACTGAACAGGACATTCACCTACGAAATACTTCAATCTCTTCAACATTAATCTCCTTGCTATTACGGGGATTGCCTCCTACTTATAAGGACTTTGCACAAGGCTTATCTCAGGGAAATTCTAATCCGAAATTCTCTGTATAGGTGCTACTGTAAGAGTGACAATTACAATACAAAACTTTGGAAAGAATAGCAACCTAAAAGCCCTTTTTTCCCGTATATAAGGGCATTTCCCTCATTTTCTAGTGCTTGGGGAAGTTCAGGTTTTTTCCTAGTAGCTGGTTTTAGCTTTACTTAGGAAGTTCAGTTTGTGACAGTGTCCCAGAGGAAGGACTATTTAGATCCGTGCAAACTGTGAATGTTCTAAAGAAAAATAAAGAGCCTTTCTCATTTGCCTTCAGATGGTGCATATTCATCAAAAGTAAACTGGAAATATTTTAATCCAGACATGACCTTGCAGCTGAAACAGAAACAACAATTACTTACAGTGATGGGGGGCTGAGTCACATTTTGACAGAGCTGATCCAGACAGGAAGGGTTTACCTAATTTCCTAAAGGTGTTCAGGGAAACAATTTGTCCAGGATCCTCTAATAGCCAGAATCCAGTGAGGAGAAAAAAAATACTTCTTTTATTGTCACGAGCTTTATCCTAGTTTTTTTTATTCCTGAGCTAGCACCACTGTCTCAGGAAACAAAAATGGGCTTGATCACTGCTACCAGCAGCTTCATTGTTCATGGAGACCCAAAGCATAGAAAAAGCAAGTTTAGCTGGAATTGTATTGTCTTTACTTTCAGATTCAAAGAGAGGATCACAGCAAGTCAATGGAAGATCACGAAGGTATGGGACACTGAGACCTCATCCAGGGGAAAATAAGGGAATTTCTTAGCTTGCCAGAGATTATATAATCATAGAATCATAGAATCATAGAAAGACTATCTAGTTCCCACTCCCCTGCAATGGGAAGGGACACCTTCCACTAGACCAGGTTAGCTCAAAGCTATCCAATCTGCCCTTGAACACTTGCAGGGATGGGGTATCCAAAACTTTTATGGGCTACATGTTCCAGTGTCTTACCAGTCTCTGAGTAAAGAATTTCTAACTATCATCTAAAGATGAAAGAAGATGGTTTGAGACAGTGCTGTCCTGCAAGTTCTGATGACTCCAAGTTTCTTCAGCATGGGAATAACAGGCAGATATGTGCTATGGATTGATGCAAGATCAGTGTCCAAGCGAGCTCCCTAAAACATTTCACCTTTTTGACCAGCACCACTTTAGTTTTGCTTGGGTTTATTTAAGCCATTGTTGCCTTCAAGGTGATTTGTAGCCATGCTTAGAGGTGCTTGCTAAAGAATCACCACTTCTCGTTTCTGGACCTACTGTCTCAAATGTTGTAACACTGACGTGAAGGTGACGTACAACCAGTGTGAATATTTCCCAGACACCCTCCAGGCAGAAGCCATGGTTTCAGGTGTTACCTCATTGAGGCTTCCCAGAAGGGCAGAGGAAGGCCCTCAGAAAGGGCATGCAGGTCTTAGAAGAGGCCCCAGCCATACAAAGATGTTTTTTCTTATGCCAACAGAGAAGTCCCTGTGTTCCTGATGAAGTATTGCATGTTTCCAGTTCATTTTGCTACTCTTACTCTCTGACAAATCAGCTTCCACACCCAGCAAAAGAAGTAATAAAACTAAAAACCATAGCCTGCAAAGTGTCTCAAGATGTCTGAATATGTTATTTGCTGATCCTGGAAGAGACACTGCAGTCACAGCTGCAGAAAGAAAAGAAGCACAGCAAAAAGCCACACCGCAATTCTTAAACAGGAATTTGCCACACACAGGGCAAGGCAAGGAAAAGAAGAACCCACCACTTTGAAGACAGGAATGGGCTATCTTACAATGTTTGTGAGAATTAGAGGTTCAGATAGAAGCTGAACCAGCCAAACAAAGAGCCAGGACTGAGCAAACATTTACTATTGCATACCCAGGAAAATTTTGCATAGCTACTATTCTTTTGAGATCAAGATATCAGCTAAAGCTAGGAAAGTCTTAATGGGAGAAGGATGAAGACTAGGATCCAGGTGGAGTTTTGTTCATCTGAAAGCATGCAGAACTTAGGGAGTTTGTATATGGTGGCTGTTAAGTGACTATGGAAATGTGTAAACGTCTGGCCCTTGCTTACGCAGCCGACTGAATTCCTGCATGTACACGGGACCTCACCATCTGACTTAGGTGTCTAAAATAGACTTGCCCTGCTTCTTCTCCTGGAGAACTATGCAGGGACATGTGCAGAAGTGGGTTTCTGGTTTATGGGTTA